TCCTATGATGACATCTAGAGCTGCGGCTTTTTCAGCGGAAATGGGACATTGCTTGACATATACTGGCTTGTTGTTTTTCATGAGCTGTGCGTGATTAGGTATAAAGCCAATATGAGGTATAAGGTAGATCTATGTGTCGACATGGTTTAGTTATCGTAACCTATGTCTGAGTTATGTGACAAAATCACTGTTTGACCTTCACTTGTGTGAGCAGTTATCATGTTGTTGAACAGTGTGAGAGAAACAAAAGTGTGGCTCCCAGATATGGGATTACCTGGCAGTGGTTTTTGAACACGTTTTTGGCACATTGTGTGACGTGGAATACCAGAAAAAACGATGTTGAGTTCATTCTCTGCTGAGGCGTCCAGCTGACACAGAGTCTGTTCCTTCTCCATCATGTCGATGCAAAGGGCAGAGAAAACATAAGCTGTTATCAGTGTCAGCAAACATTTCACACTTTGTGTTAAATTAAATACACAAATTCATTTTTGCTCCGGGTGTCTGTAGCTGCTGGAAAACTGAGCTAAATTTGCACCTCTAGCTTGTCTACCTTGTGGATTGTAAGGCTGCTTAGATGTGGAGCCAGTATTGCGTGCTTCCCGTTCTTGCCAGTTACCTTGACTGGAAGAGCTCCGCTGACGCCTAGTGGCCGGAACTTGTACTGCGTTCTGTGGTCGAGGCGCGCGTGCTTTGCCGGAGACTGCAAATCGATACTCACGAAACCAGTGTCCTATTTTTCCACAATAAAAACACACATCTCTACTCTTATCTTTCCTTCTGAAATCTCCCTGCTGCGCTGGAGCAGGTGATCCTGCATACATCATTTTTTTTCACTTTCCTCTGAGCCTTCAACATCAAAATTCAACATTATCTTAACACTTTTAGCTTTCGTGGTAGTATCTGCACTGGCCTTCGGTTTTACTGACCTGTTTTCTGGCGATAATCGTTCGGGATAGGGCTCCGGAAATAAATTAGAATGCATTGAACTTACAGTTTTTAAGTTGTAAACAAAGTCAGTCACGTAAGTACTTCCGCATGTTCTGGTTACGTAATCATGGAAGTCTTCACCGATTCGCGGACGTGAGTTGCACGTGACCGGAAGTGGGAGGCGTACTGAGCCGTTATTTGAAACTTTATATTTTATTTTATTTTTTTTGGTTTTACAGTTGATTTCGATTTTTCTCGGACCTGTCTGTGGTCTTTGAATTATTCTGACCCATGTTCAGTGATTTCCAGAGGGGTTTACACGCTTTGAAGGATTTATGTTAGTATTTTGCTGTGGCACAGCTGAGGTTACTTTAAATTTATTGCTAGCAATTTTTGCTTGGGTGAGCAACTTCTCACTTAACGAACAACTTCTCGCAATACAACAGGCAACTTCCTGTGTCTTTCTGCTTTTAATTTACCTTATTCGGGGACTAAAGAAGTCGTCAGTGTATCTCTCTGGATCACTAAGTGAAACTTGCATCAGCATATCCCGTTTTTATGGGTGATCACTGAGAGAGGTATAATACGGTCTTTATATAAATATGAAAGACGCATATTTACCTTCGTCAGCAATCCCACTTCTGACACCAAATTGAAGGGAAAATCCGGTTTCCCTCCAAGGCGTGAGCACCGATAAGCAGAGTTTTGTCCTTTCCTTATAAGATTCCTAATTATTCAAAGTAACACTCAGGTATGCCGCTCAGCGGGTTAGTTACAGCGCCGGAGTAGCTTGGGAGAACAAGGAAACACAGACTGCTTCAGGTTGCCTTCCCAAACCAACTCAAAGGTTTATTTAGTACAAAACAGCTTATATAGAGGAAAAAAGGTTCGTGTGTCAGCAGGTTCTCAGTTCAAACCGGTACAGACCAAATAAGGAAACGTCTTCCTGCCTTGTGAGCAAAGAAGTATCCTTTGTGTAGTTTATCTCTTCAGTTACAATTTATGATCATCCCAGCAAAATACACTCCTAGACATAGAATACAGAGTTCTTTCATTAGTGAATTCTGAAACAAACCACCTGGCCTTTAACAAGCTCTTTTCTAGGAGATAAAGAAGGGAGGATGGGAGTAAGGAAGTGGTCTCGTCTCTGTGGTGTTTTCGACCTTGAGGTACCAGCCTGTGAGTCTTACACATTAATTCTTGGGTCACAGAGAAAGAGAAAAACAACTAGTAAATGGGCCTTATTGAGTAACAGTTCTCCTGTATAATATCACTACAAAACAATATCCTGTAAATGCTACCATGGTATCAAAATATCACAACACTGTGCACAAGGTAGGCCATGTCAGTTTGAGCTCAAACTTTTGTCATAGATCCGTAAGCACAGAGGGATCCAAACTTCAAGTACTTGTGTTTATTCACACACATCAAAACAAACACAAGTGTTTATTTACAAGTATTATTTATTTTATTATTATTATTTATTATTTATTTATTTATTTATTTATTAATTATTTGCAATCGCCATATTGGCAAAGTGCAAAGTGACTGTACTAACTGATTCTCAATTCAAAATGTTCTTATGATGCCTGCTACAGTGTAGCGGCTCGAGTTAGGCTGGACCCGTTGGCCAGCTTCCCTCAGGGTCATTCCACGGTTGATTACATGGTCCACTATTGTAGCTCTGATGTAATCAGCAATTCTATTTCTTACTCTTCTTACCCTTCCTCTCCCCCTCCTCGTCCTCCTCTCCCCCCTCCTCGTCCTCCTCTCCTAGCAGTGCGTTGATCATTTGGAAATTGAGTGTAAAGCAGTGAGTTTTGTTTACAGTTCTGCAAAATGAGTGCTGTGCAGTGGATTGTAGCTACAGGTTTGCAAAGTGTGTGCCTTGTTGCAGGCTGCTCAGTTTGCATCTTTTGCTGTGAAGTACAGCCAGACTTTTGACCACTTCGCCTTGGGCATTTTTAATCTGTAGCTCTGCTCTAAAAGAACATATGTACCTGGGCCTGCCTACTACGCTCACAAAGGTAATATGATTGGCTAGAATCCAAAGTGTATGACATTTAAGGAAAAAAAAGCACCAAAATGTGCGCTGCTTTTCGGTATGGTTACTACCGTTTATGTCAGAACCGGTGCCATAATGTCACTGGATACCGGTACCCATCCCTAGTTACGAGGTACCTGTTGTAAACTGTTGTTTATTGTGGGAGCTTTTTCAAAAAAAGGCACCGAGAGGAGGCCATCGTCGGGGTCATTCGTAATGAGCTGAGATACCGACGAGGCCTCCCTTGCAAGTAAATCGATCGATCGCTGTTGCCTTGTTTTTCTTTCACGGAAATAAGTCCTGGATACAGCGGGGTCTGAGTTTAGACCCAACACTATCCTCTGACGGACAGGCAGCCAGCGTAAAGACCTTAGAGCTGGACTAATGTGGTCCACTTTTTTGGTCTTAGTGAGGACTCGAGCAGCAGAGTTCTGAATGAGCTGTAGTTGTCTGACTGATTTTTTAGGTAGACCTGTAAAGATGCTGTTACAGTAATCAAGCCTACTAAAGATGAATGCATGGACTAGTTTTTCCAGGTCCTGTTGAGACGTCAGATCTTTTTTCCTTGAAATATTCTTGAGGTGATAGTAAACTGATTTTGTTATTGTCTTAATGTGTTTTTCTAAGTTTAGGTCTAGGTCTCCTGGTGACAGTGTGATATATATTTGTGTGTCATCTGCATATCTGTGATAGTTTATTTTGTTGTTCTTTATAATCTGTGCCAGTGGGAGCATGTAAATGTTAAACAGAGGGGGTCCCAAGATGGAATCTTGGGGAACTCCACATGTGATACTTGTCTGCTCAGATATGAAGTTACGTATTGATACAAAGTATTTCCTGTTTTCTAAGTATGTTTTGAACCAGTTTAGTACAGTTCCTGAAAGACCTGTCCAGTTCTCCAGTTGTTTGAGTAATATGTTGTGGTCAACTGTATCAAATGCTGCACTGAGATCCAGTAAAACTAGGACTGACATTTTTCCACTGTCTGTATTCAGACATATGTCATTAAACACTTTGGTCAGAGCGGTTTCAGTGCTGTGGTTCTGTCTAAAACCTGACTGGAAGGCATCATAGCAGTTATTCTGTTTTAAGAACTAATTGAGCTGTTGAGAAACTGCTTTTTTAATGATCTTACTTAAAAATGGGAGATTTGAGATCGGCCTGTAGTTGTTCATTTGTGTCTTGTCAAGATTGTCCTTTTTCAGTATAGGTTTTATTACAGCAGTTTTTAGTGATTCTGGAAACACACCTGACATTAAAGAAAAGTTGACGATCTGTAACAGGTCTGACTCCAAAGTCTTTGAGACCTTTTTGAAAAAACTTGTGGTATGGTAAATGGTAATGGTAAATATTTAATGGTAAATAAATGGTAAATAATAAAACAAACATTAGCAAGTGTATTTAGAATAGAGGCTACAAAGATGACTGCATTATCAGTATGATTAATATAATGAAAGCAATGACACATAACAAGCAGCAAAAACATTAACAATAGTTCCCAAAAGGTTGATTCTGTTCATCTGGACGTAGCATTTTCAGTGGAAGAAACATTTCATCACTCATCCAAGTGACTTCTTCAGTCTCAGCTGACTTCAGGTTTGCCCAATCTTATAAACAGAATCAACCTTTTGAGATTTACATACATGTGTGAGCATGCATCAAGACATTAACAATAGCTGTACCAGCAGAAGCAGTAACAATATTGTTATTAATATTTCCTAAATACCATTAATACTGATATTTCCTAAACACTACAACACCATCCTTTTTTCTCCACAAGTGTTTGGCTGTTTTTATCATTCATTTGCTTGTTATTTTCCAAAGGGTTTGTTACTCCTTCTGAAAACTAACCAGGAATTTCATCTGTTACACAAATGTGTAAACATATACTTAACCGATAAAACATATGCATAACAACCATAACAATTCATCTTAAAGTCCATCTGTTATGATGGATAAACATTTGCATTGCACTCATTATTCTAGTGGTACTATTGTGTTTCTAATTCTAAATCATGTGGTTGTCAAGGTAACTATTGTAGAAGCAAGTGGTCGCGTTGGTGGACGGGTTGAAACCTACAGAAATGAAAAAGATGGGTGGTATGCTGAACTGGGGGCCATGAGGATCCCAAGTTTTCACCGGTAAGTTTTAACTATACAGATTAAATCCATTGAAGGCGTGCATTAAATCAAAAGGAAAACCTCGCAAACATGTGTTTTCCTTATCTTTAACATCTGGGATCATATATATCTAACTCTGCTACCACTGACTTTGTCTTTCTACAGAATTGTGCAATGGTTTGCTGATGACCTAGGGGTCAAATTGAATGAATTCATCATGGATAACCCTAATACCTTTTACCATGTTAATGGAAAGCGGAAAAGAACATTTGCAGCACAAGCAAATCCTGATGTTCTTGGGTACAATGTGTGGCCAAGTGAGAAAGGGAAGTCAGCAGATGAACTCCTTCAGCAAGCTTTACAGAAGGTGAGAAAAAAGGAAGCGAGTCAAATGTCTCTGGCATAAAAGAGTTGGATGGAGAAACATACAGTAGCTAATTCCTCCAGTTATTCAATTTACAACTTTTGCAAAAATGGAACCCTTTTGTTCCATTTTCTCAAAGATCATTATTGACCATATAACTCTGACCACTAGCACAAAAAAGGGAATCTTAGAGTTTTTTGTGATGACTGCAACATGTATGTTTCCTTGAATTTTAAACTGTTCAAATCATTAAAGCAGTTAAACTAAATTAAGCACACTCAAATGCATTTAAACATTGTCTACTCAACACTATGTAACATGACAAATGCTTTGACTGAAGATATTCTGAAAAGTCAAAGCAAGAAATTAAAATTGATTTCACCAACTGCACCTGCTCCTTCAGTCATGAAAGTATATTGTAGACTAATATGGACATTTCTGACTGCTCATTGCAAAAAGAATCAATGCAATAAGTAAGGTTCTGGACTTTTTCCATATAAACAACTGTTCTTTCTCCTTTTTTGGTAGGTAAAGGATGAGGTGGAGGCTCATGGCTGCTGGGCTGCACTGAAAAAATATGACCATTATTCCGTGAAGGTATAAATCATAATGAGATAATGAATGGTAAAATGAGAACAGTCCTTGTTGACTAAGTGAATCATGAGGATACATTCTGAAGAATCAGAGTACTTGCATTGGCATTTCTAAATGTTAAACATTTAAATGATTACCACATTTTATTACAAATAAGGGTATATGGATAACATAAACTAGTAAAAACACATTAGTAAATATTTATTTTAATAAAAAATTACTTACGTCATTTTACTTTTTCACCATGAACCACAAAACTGAAAGAGGTGGTTGTAATTGTTACAGCACAAATGTGTGTCAGTGCAAGTAAAACTAGCAAAAACATTTAATCAGATGATATTAATGTACATCCTTAGTTCACAAAATGTAAATGTTTGTTGCAAATAGGAGTACCTGAAAGAAGAAGGAGATCTGAGCCCCGAAGCGTTGAGAATGATTGGAGAGCTGCTCAACGAACAGAGTCTTATGTACACTGCACTTAGTGAGATGATCTATGACCAAACTGACATCAGTGACAGCACCAAGTAGGGCCTGACAACTCCTCAAACCTTCTTCATGTTTACATTTATGTGCAAAAACATAATTAAAATGTCTTTATTATCACCCAAGTAGAGCTTAAACAAAATTAAGAGTGCTTTTCTACCATTTGGTCACAAAAAGAGACAGTCACACACATGATTAATCCAAGAAAAAACTAATGTAATAATATATAATAGCTTAAATGTGCTTTTTAATCATTTGAGCCATTTAATATAGCAGCAAAGGCTTCAAATATAAAATATATGTTATGTGTTTGCAAACAGCAACTGCAATTTTTCATGTCTTTATGTAGAATATAAAAAAGTATCTATGAGTTTTCAGTGCATGCAAGCATATCAATAAACAATGGTAACATCCAGAAAACACGGAGCAGTTAAACAGTCATTTGGCACGACTTGTTTTGATATATCCTGCTTTTTTTACGTAAGCGCTTCACTATGTTTATCATGAGGGCCTTACCTTTGCCGCAAAGTATGGAGCACTTATCATCACGAAGCACGATACCATAACATTGTGATGACTGAACTTGTTCGAACATGCAGCAGAAGAGATGCAAACATTTAATGTGATCCAACAGCCACACACACGCAATAAAGTTTGCTTCTGCCTGCTCTGAGCAGTTCATTAGAACCTAAAAATGGAATTGTACATGTAAATAATTTCCTACAGATATTAACTGCAATAATAATAAAATGTTATTTTTATGGCTCTTTTTTTATAGGTACTTTGAAGTTGTTGGTGGGTCTGATCTTCTCCCCAAAGCTTTCCTTACTGTCCTTGATATCCCTATTCTCCTGAACTCTAGAGTCAAGCGTATCAGTCACTCACACAAAGGAGTCATTGTATCATACCAAACCGGACAACAGTCCTCTCTTACTGATCTTCAGGCTGATGTTGTCCTAGTAACAACCACAACAAAAGCAGCTCTATTTATGGATTTCATCCCACCTCTGTCCCCCAAAAAGATGGAGGCACTGAGGGCTGTCCATTATGACAGCTCCACTAAAATCCTCCTCACCTTTAACAACAAGTTCTGGGAGAACGACGGTATCCGAGGAGGAAAGAGCATCACAGACGGGCCTACTCGTTTTATCTACTATCCAGGCCACAGTTTCCAAAAAAATAAGACCATCGGTGTCCTCCTGGCTTCCTACACCTGGGGTGATGATTCACTACTCTTCCTAGGTGCAAGTGATGAAGCCCTCAAAGAGCTGGCTCTGAGCGATTTGGCAAAGATTCATGGTGAGCAGGTCTGGGATTTCTGCACTGGGGTGGTGGTGAAAAAGTGGAGCATGGATCCTTACAGCCTTGGTGCCTTCGCTCTGTTCACACCCTACCAACACTTAGAGTATGCTAAGGAGCTCTTTAAAAGTGAAGGCAGTGTCCACTTTGCTGGTGAACACACAGCCTTCCCTCATGCTTGGATTGAGACGTCCATGAAATCTGCAGTAAGGGCAGCTAAAAACATTAACAGAGCTGTGCTGCTGAATTCAGAGTCAGCTAAATGTCGAAAAAGAGATGAACTCTAGGGTCTGACATATTTAGTCTTCAACAATCTTCAAAAGAAGGATCCTTAAACCACTTATCTACTTATTACAAACCAATCTTTTCCATGAATTAGCTAAGTAACAATACTAAATATTATTGTTTCAGAGTTTACAGCTTTTTATCCTTTTGTTAATTGATCTCTTTTTTGTGCTGTACTACTCACTTTTCATATAAAAGGCCTTGGTAAATTAGTGGTGATAGAGATATATTATTAAAAACTGCATCTGTATCAAAGACTTTTTGTGATGGAGCATTTTCACACAATAAAGTGGCAATGTTACACAAAGTTAATGTCTATAGTCTCATTTTTTCTTTGTAATAATCAAACCTGCTCAAAGATATACGTCCTGCATGTGGTGCCACTGAAACACGTGACTTCTGGAAAGACGTTTGTTTAGCAAATGACAGAATGATAAAAGATTTAAAGGAAGTTACATTTTTCTCATCATAGGACCCAAACAGTGGATGTATATCATCTGACCGCACGAGACAGGGAAAAACTGAAACCAAAACTGAAGCCTCATTTTCAAAAGAGGCGGGGCAAGCCTGTCCTTTAGGATGGGGCAGTCAGGTGAGTAGTATAAACAGGAGTGAACTGAAGTGAATGACAAGGAGGAGACAAGAGTTAAATCGGATTAGCAAGTTCTTTTAAACGGTAATATAGTTTTATTTCTGCTTGGTAAAAATAATACTTGTATTATATGTGTGCAGGTTTTTCATATTTTTTATGCTTTTTAAAAGATGATTACAAATGACTTTCTAGACTTTTTTTATCACAAAGTAAAACAAAATATTTATAGGGATTAGATAAATGCAGCACCAAATGTATCAGTTTGTATAGATAAATAAAAAAAAACAATAAAGCAGTTAGAAAAGTGAAAGTATCTGAGGAATTTTTCCAAGGGTTAGAGTTATCTGCTGCACTCCCGTCTGTTCTTTCAGGATTTGAGCATGTATGTGGGTTTATGTTGATGGATATCATATAGGATATGAATAGTTGTGTTCTCCTGTCCTTAGAAAGAAAAGAGAACACAACATTTCTTTGTAAATAGTGTTAATGAATTTTCTCTGATAATAGAATAAAAAAATCAGCGGTATTACAAAGCACTGGCAGAAGTGAAAGTAAAACTACAGCTGCTGTGGTAAAATTTTGGGATATAAATGCTTCCTCTTTTTGAAATTCACAAATATGAAGATGAAAGGTACTGTATCGAGATCCCAGTTTCTATTTCTCATTCTAATTCTGTTTTTCGTCTTGTTCTTTACTTGCTGCCAAAGGCATAAGGAAAACCATTGAGCAAAGTGAGATGAAGCCACAATTTGCCAAGTGGAAATTTTGTGAGTAATTCTGGTGCAATCTTTAATTTTGGTCTTGAAAATGTAAAAACTCTTGTAATGTTTGTTTGTTTTTTTTTAATGTGTAATGATTCCGAGCTCCAGAGCTCTTCTTGCATAGTTTGCTGTTCTTTGTTGAGTTTGTGATCATCATTAAAATGTGCGTACCACGTGCTGTCCTGAAACACTTGGTGTTGACATTCTATAATCCCAGGAAGTCAATATGACTATCAAAATGGTAAATGGAGTGGTTCTTATATAGTGCTTTTTTACTCTACCTGAGTACTTAAAGCTTTTTACTGGATTTACCTCATTCACCTAGTCACACCGATTCATACAAGAATATTGTTCTATGCAATTTGAGAATTGGGAAATAGAAATACTTTAAGTTTTTAATTTTAATAAGTTTTTTGCACATTCATCATTTATTATGGCTCAAAGTTATTAGTAACTGAAATTATAACTCCACAAACTTAAATTAACTTATATGGATTATGTAATATGTAATGTAATATAATATGTATGTTATATGTTATTCATAACATAAATGTTTTAAAATCTCTTTTTATCTTCAGTCCATTCATTTGCCATCAGTGTGCTGCTGTTGGCTTTGTATCCCACTGCTACTGTTGCCAGCATGAATGAAGAGCTGGCTAAATGTCTGGAAGATGACGATAATTATCGGCTCATGGACACAGTGCAGACTGGCCTTCCTCAGATCAAGAAGTCTCATCACGTTATTATTGTTGGGGCTGGGATCGCTGGGCTGACGGCTGCCAAGCTATTGGAAGGTGCAGGACACAAGGTACATGCAAGATTTAAATATGTGTATGCTAGTTATGTTGTTTGTTTTCCATCCAGTGAATGCAAACACTGCCATCTGCAGGTTAAAAAAAATGTTGCAAGTAAGTAAGTAGAATACATCTGTTCCAATGATATCATTTTATATTTAAAAGTGTTTAAAATATAAAATCTTTCCTTACTTTTAAAAGGACAAAACATTTAACACATTTTTTATTCATGCCTAATTATTGTATCCAGTCAGTGCAATTTTCTTTTATATGAAAATCATTTCCAACCCCAAAACATAGATGATTTCTAAAATCCCAAGAATGGTCCACTTCACACTATGAGATTCTGGATCCAGAAGGATAAGGAGTTAGTTTGTGATATTTTCTTGAGACAATGAATTCTTATATCTCCTATTTCAAATATTTTCAATTTTGTCTGGTCTTGCAGTGGTCCGAAAGGCTCTGGTAAAAAGTTATTGTAAATATTCTCTTTAAATATATTTTTTAAGAGCCTGCTAACAATCATACACACGTTATCAATCACATAAGTTGTGTTTTGGGCCCTAGTAGAAGTAATTTCATGTCTGAATTTGACACAAACGTCTTTGGACTTCATGTTTCTGTAAAACAAAAAGGTGCACAGTAGTGAAATGGCATGAGGCATGAGGCATTTTTAAGATTCTTCTGAGATCAGAATGTGATTTGAGAGTGACTGCAGACAAGAACAAACACAATTACCTATCAACCTTTCTCATATTTTTTTAGCTTTCATTTAAACTCATTATAAATAAAGTCCTAATGGCTTATGTACAACACTCCTGGAGCATTACAAGTGTCTAATTCTCTGGATTTATAACAATATGGTATGTTTCTAGATGTTCCAAGATAGAACAGCAAAAGTATATATTTTCCACAATATTTTGTTTATTGCTTTTTCTCTTGAACTGTTTGATTAAGGTAACCATCATAGAAGCTAGTCCTCGTGTGGGAGGAAGGGTGGAGACCTACAGGGATGAAGAAAATGGCTGGTATGCTGATTTGGGTGCAATGAGGATACCGAGTAACCACCAGTGAGTAAAAGAATGTCAAACATTGTCAAGTTTTGCTCTCAAAGGACCAGTTTTTGTACTGCATTATAAACATTAACAAGCGAATGACCTCATGCTTTAACAGGATCATCCGCTGGTACATCAAAGAAATGGGGCTCAAGCTGAATCCATTCATCATGTATGACTCCAACACTTTTTACTTGGTTAATGAACGGAACAGGACGAGGACATACGCAGTGACAGCAAACCCCGACATCCTGAATTATAAACTGCCAGAGAGGGAGAGGGGGAAATCAGCTGACGACCTGTTGTGGCAGGCTTTGCAGAAGGTAGGTAAAGATGTAGGAGGAATTCATGGCACTTTTTATACAGAGTGATACCATAGCAGAGCTGTCTATTAAAAATACAACAGATTCAGCAGTTGTCCTATAAAATATTAATTTAATGCATTTATGCACTCCATGGACTCTAAGCCTTAAATGCAAGTGTTGACTTATTCATGCAGACACATACTCCACATGGTTATCCCACTGTTACTGAAAATTAAAGTTAACAATTTCTTGTCACTTCACACTCTCAAATAAAGGCAAAAAAGCTCATAAGATTTTTTTTAAGTTACTTAAAGTTTAAAATGCACAAGAAGCCAAAGAAAATGTACCATATTGACACTTTTCAAGGACCAATTAAATGCAAATCTTAGCATGTGAGCTGTTGAGTTTTTTAAGATTCAAATGGGCAATGCTTTGTCTTCATGTTTGTAGGTATTAAATATTTAATAAAATTATAGGTGTTGTAGGCTCCTAATGGTGTACCAGTGTTTTACCAAGACTCAACTGGAACAGACTCCATTCCTGTAACGACTCTATTGGATGACGTGTTATTAATATTGCAATACTAAATGACTTTGCATACAGAACCACTGGAAATAACTTGTGTATGTATCTTTTCTTTCAAGGTGAGAGACGAAATTAAAGCCCATGGATGCAAAGCTGCATTTAAGAAATATGACCATTATTCAGTAAAGGTAAAGTGCAGAATCATATTCCTGAAATAGTGCCTGTTATGATATTAGATCTTCATTGGACAATGTAAACAAAATAAATTTACTAAAAGACCATGTACAACCTTCTTTTTTTATAGGAGTACCTGAAAGAGGAAGGTGGTTTAAGTCCAGAGGCAGTGGTTATGATTGCAGAGTTACTGAATGAACAGAGCATGATGCATCTGGCTCTGACTGAGATGCTCTACGTCGAGAATGATGTCAGCGATAGCACAACGTAAGATTATTATTAAAAAGGAAGTGATGGTAGTCATGAACAATGCAAAGAAAGAATAATCAAATCTTATTTTTGTTTTTGTTTTGTTCACAATCCTGACCCAGTACAACGTTGTAGTTGGATTTCCTTGATTGGATTTACTTATAAGCAAATTCTTAGGGAATCTCTCATAATTCCTGTTGAAAATTATATATATATATATATATATATATCATATCACCTACTCGCTTAGTTTAATGTTGTAACATTTAATCACAAAGGAAGCAACCAGTTTGCTGTATATGTAACATTTGAGACTAAAAACAAACAAGCTGGAAACAAATATGAGGTTATAACCATGTCTCTGTCATACACCCACCACAAAATACTACAGCTGTAAAATTGAACATGAATAGGGTAACATCAAAGTAAGTAAATAACGAAGAAATGTGATGGTAAATATAATTTACTTACACGTCTAGGCAGTGAAATGTTCCCCTATTCCTAAATGCTGACTACTAACTAATTTCCTCTTAAATTCAACTGTTTATGTCACCACTGCATGGTCCTAAGGTCTTTGCACTGATTCTGTACAAAAGCTCAGGCTGACATTCGTGTTTTTGTGTTTGTTTGTTTTTTAAGGTATGATGAAATAACTGGTGGGACAGATCTCCTCCCCAAAGCTTTTCTCTCTTTCATTAATGGTCCCATCCTCTTCAACTCCAAAGTCAAATTCATCAGCCAGTCAAATGAGGGTGTAACTGTGTCATATAGAAGAAAGGGCGAGTCAGCTTTGACATACATTACTGGTGATGCCGTCTTAGTAACAACCACAGCCAAAGCTGCCCTCTTCCTGGATTTCAACCCACCTCTCTCCACCCAGAAAATGGAGGCATTGAGGGCTGTCCACTATGAATGCTCCACTAAAATCATCCTCACCTTCAAGAGGAAGTTCTGGGTGGACGATGGCATCCATGGAGGAAAGAGTATCACAGACCGGCCCTCTCGTTACATCTACTACCCCAGCCACAGTTTCCCAAGAAATCAAACAATTGGTGTCCTCTTGGCTTCCTACACCTGGGCTGATGACGCCCAGTTTTTACAAGGTGCGACCGATGAAGACCTTAAAGAGCTAGCATTGAGAGATTTAGCGAAGATTCATGGTGAGCAGGTGTGGGACCTCTGCATTGGGGTGGTGGTGAAAAGGTGGGGCATTGATCCATACAGCTTGGGTGGCTTTGCTTTCTTCGCGCCATACCAACACATAGAGTACGCAAAGGAGCTCTTCAGAAGTGAAGGTAGGGTCCACTTTGCTGGGGAGCACACAGCTTTCCCTCATGCTTGGATTGAGACATCTATGAAATCAGCTATTAGAGCAGCTAAAAACATCAACAACGCTGCACACGAGGAGTTGGCTAGAAATCAAGATCGAAATGAGCTCTGAAATGTCAAATATGTACTCTAGGTCAAACAGTTTTACTGAAGTTATATATAACCATTTTGGGATAAGGTATGTCAAATGTCAAAAAGAAGAAGCTGTTTCTAAAAGGTTTTTACTTACAGTTCTAAATGTTGTTAAATAGTATTCACCCTGTTTCCAGAACAGTAAATATTGGGTTATGTTGCATTTTTGTTATCGGTTGTCTGAAATCACGTCAGACATTTTTTACAATTCTTAATAAAATTATCCTATTTAAAGTTATGTTTTATGATAATTTTAGTCCATGTCTGTCCAATTCTGTCCAGAAATCTTGAGAAGGGGCTCATTGAATCCCTTCTTTTAAAGAAAAAGTCCCAACTGTGCAACCTGTAGTACTAGTAGCACTACTCTATAGTGTTTTCTTTGCAGTTACATAAGTTTATATTGACATTTCAAGGCAGAGCTAACACTATTTAATACTTTCAATTTAAATGCACAATACTTTATTTAAACCCACAGGGCAATTAAGAAGTGTGTGTGTTTTGTTTTTTTAAATCATTGGAACCAAGCTGTTAAAGTGTGTGATTTATAGCAGAGGTCCCCAATCCCCGGGCCATGGACCAGTACCGGTCCATGAGTCGTTTGGTTCAGGGTGGCGAGAGTTGAGGCTGGGGTGTGAAATGTATGGTTTTCAGGGTTTTTATCGTTTTTTAGCGTTGTTTTGTTATTGTTTTTTATTGTTAACTCGGTTTTCCTGGGTCTTTTCACATGTGTTATGAATAAATCTTCTTTTTTTCAGTACCGGTACTAGTTTTATTTTGTTGTATTTATCCACGACACCTTATAGGACGGTCCGTGAAAATATTGTGGGGCATAAACCAGTCCGTGGCGCAAAAAAGGTTGGGGACCGCTGATTTATAGCACTGAAAATGTTTGTTTGAAACAGCAGCAATTCTGACTTGTAACGTGCACATGTGAGGTTATCTGTTTCTTGGATCGCCATTGTGGGTGTGATACTAATATCAGTGATTTGTAGTACAACAAAGAAAAACAAAAACAAAACCTTGAAATATTTTTTAATATGTTAAACTGTTAAACTGTTATTTATAAATGTTTTTATAAATAAGAAAGAAAGTATACTTTATTGATCCCTGTTGGGAAAATTCCTCTCTGCTTTTAACCTATTCACTCAGTGAAGCAGTGGGCAGCCATTGGGCGCAGTGTGTAGGGACAGTACCTTGCTCAGGGGTACCTCAGGGTAGCTGTTAAGGGGAATCGAACCCCCGACCTTCCAATCATGGGGCCACCACTCTACCTACTGAGCTATCCCTGCCCTATAACAGGGTTATTATTTCAGGCTTATCAATTAACAATTTAAAGATCAACTGAGCATTAACATGAATTAGCATTTTAAAAATTTTCCAATAAGTCTCTCTTCTCTCTCTCTCTTTTTATAATTCTCTGCAGTTTGTTAAATGAAGTATCCACCTGTTCTCATTTTAATGTGCCTCTGTGTTTACCATCTAGACAGCAGTTTTCCCTGAAGGTACAGAGAAATCATAGTATTGTTCAGTTCTGGTTACTTTTTTTGTGTCCAAATGTGATCAGATCACTCTAATTATTCTTATCTAATTACCCGATTCTGACTTAATGCTGATTTTGTTCGAATATCTGGGAGGAGAGAGTTTGCAGAAGAGAAATGTGCATGACTTCCCACCGATGCAGCAGGAAAACATGAATATCCAAATTTTTCTGAATTAATTTTCTAACATGTCAAAAATGAGCTAACAGAAAGGTTTGGGGCAAAGGCTGCTCCTCTGGCGTTACTTGCTATAATGTCTAACTATAGACTCCCTGGGTATCATGTTCATATTTTTTTTCTGCAACTTGCAAGAACTAGAGCAAGTAACCCTGAATGTTCCTTGGCACCCTCTTTTATACTCATTTTCCCTTTGCCTCCCCCTGTCTGGACATCCAATTCATATCGTGAACTTACAATTACTCGATGTCCAGCCACACATACACTGATGTTTTTTGCATATATGATTGAAAACAAAATTTTAACTCTAAACTTTAAAACCACATTGATACATGTTCTTCTTTTCTATGTTGTACTTTAAAATAACATGTTTTTAATTCTATACTTCACTTCATGGTTCACTCATTTTACTTTCACTTGAAGCAGATTTCTCAGCAGGTCATTCTCACATGAAAATCCACATTCTTCAACATCAACCACTATTTGATTTAAATATAGTTGTAATCTGACAAGACTACAATCATCATAATCTAAATACTACGTTAAGAGGTTGAGAACAGAGGTGACAATCACCATCTCTCCATGCTAAGAAAAACATTATCAATACAATGATTTCCTTGAGAGTGTTGATGGAGAAGTATAGAGAAGGTCAGAAGGTGTTGCAATCTTCCTTTGTGTGTCTAAAGAAATCATATGATAGTGTCCCAAGACAAGAACTCTGTTATTGCATGAGCAAGTCAGGCGTGAAAGGGAACTAGCTGAGCCTGGGGCTGGACATATGAAAATGGCACGACAGTGGTGAGGTGTCGAGTCTAATTGTGTGTATTCACAGCAATGCAAAAATTACAATACAAATACAATAAAGATTTGATGACATAACAGGTGATGAAAATTGCACCGAAAATAAATGTACAAGTAGAAAATAATATTTACATGGATAGCCGCATTTACTTATTGCTGAAAAGGCAAAGTGAGAGTTTTCCTGCTCTGTGTAAAAACAGCAGAGGCAAAATCAGGCTGACGGGCAGAGAAACCCAGGATGAAAACATTAGAATCGCACACCTGTCTATATCACTCAGCAGATTTGTGGTACCCAGAGCAACTGTAAAAAGTGTTCCTAGGCAAGACATAAGGAGAGCTGCCATTATGGCTGTGATGGTACGGAAAGCTTTCTGTTTTGACCGATTCATCTGCTGCCTGTCTCCTCCCATTTCCCCTGGCCCTGGACGAACGAGAACACAGAGAACAGAGAAGCTACAAAAAGACACTATAACTAAGGAGACCAGAATCATACAGAAATATGGAATATATGGGACATTAGGGTAGTAGGAAACTGCTAGACCAACGCACCCAAAGCACAACAACCAGACAAACCCAATGCAGATATTTCTGATCCTGACACCACCTGATTGTTTCAGCCCCAGATAGGTGATGGGGTGAACTACAGCCAAGTAACGCTCCACACATGTCACAGTGTTAAAGAACATCTCTCCAGGGTAGCTGATAGTGATTGCAGACATACCCATGAAAACCGCCACAAAGTTATTAGACCACCAGCCAAATATGACAAGTGTGGCCCCCAATACAAATATTAGCTCAACTATGGTGACATTATAGGTAAATATGTCAGAGTGACTCATTGCTGCAAAGGAACGCTGCTGCCGCTGCCATCGTTGGTACCCCAGGTACAAGACGATGATGGAGATTGGGAGAATGATAAACGTCTTGGTGACAAAGAAGGTGGTGACAATATACGATGCACTTGAGCTATAGAAGTCAAAGGTAAACGAAGAAGTGTTGTCTGACATGCTTCTTGTAGCTTTGAGCTCAGCTTCTTCTGCCCTGAGAAATAAACAAGAAGTGAGGCCACAATACTTCAACAAAAATCCCATTTATGTCTTTCTTTGTGTTTAGATATAGATGTTACAGTTCACTCCTGCTGCTGTGACAGTAATGAACTGTTTTTTAGCACTTCTTTTGTTTGTTTGACATTGACATTCCCATTTAATGTCAGTTCAAAGAAAAAAATGCTAAACAACTCCTGCAGTTGTGACAGTAATGAACAGAAGAACATTTTATGTCCACCTTCGTAGTTCACAAAAGAAATGAAGACAGTTCAAAGAAAATATTGTCTGAAATGCTCTGTAGGCCAATGCTAAACATTTTAGTATCGCCAGCTTCAGATAATAGTCTGTGGAAAATTAGCACATAGTTCAGTTACCATAATGGAAAAGTACAAATATTAACTGAAATACTTTATGAAGCTAAATGACCCCCACCTTGTCTTTTGTGGTGTTTGATTTAAATCTCCTGGAAATCCAAAATCACCAACTTGTCTTCATTAACATAAAAATCGACATAAATGTTTTTATGTCTAAGTGTGGTGAAAAGGTGGACTCCTGCACAACGGTGCCTTGTTGTTTGCAGTCAAACAAATGATTGAGTTTGCATTAACCTATGGTCTTAAGTTAGGAATGCAAATTGTAGTTTCACACTATGCGTCAATTGGTAGGTTGGAGCACAGGGTCAGCTGCTAATGAGTCTCACTGCTAGTGGAACGTATTGTTGTTGTTTAACAGGATTCAAATAACCTGGAAGCAAGTACTAGCTTTCACTGGAATGTTTACATAGTGTGTTTATTATACTGGCTGTTAAGAATAAAATAATAAGCAAATTGTTATTTTGCATTTTTAGTGTTTTCAGCCAAGTGTAACTATGGCTACTGTGCTATTTGTCAAGTGAATCACAATAGGTCTGATTGCACTTCCAAAAATGAAATTATGTAAAAGGATAAACTGACTATTGTTTATAGAGCACTTTTCTTCACAAATTAAGAACTCAAAGCACTTCTTTACTACAAGCCTCATTCACCCTCTTTCAGACGTTGGAGTGGCTGTAGCTCAGGAGGAACAGCAGTGCATCAACTGATAGCAAGGTTGGTTGTTCAACTCCCAGTTGATCTGTCTGTCTTGCACAAGATACTAACCCCAACTGTGAAGGTTAGATGGAAAGCACTTATCTGCGCATGTGAATCACGGATGTTGTATTAATTGATTTGTGTGTTCCAGGAGAGGAAAAATCAATATAAAGAATCAGTCCATTCACCTAGTCTGTAAAGTTACTTTTTTTTTTGTCAAATAACTTTTAATGAACTATTCACAGACACAACTGGATGCATCAGAGCAACAGTGTTTTTAGTATTTTGTTTATTAAGGACAGGTCAAGATGCAGGCAAAAACAACCATCCAAACAGCAATATAGGATT